CAACACTTTTCTACCTGAGAATGCCAGTAATTGGAAAGTGTAGTGAAATCAAGTAGATGACCTGGAAACTAAGATAGGATTAAGAAATGTCATATTGGTGGGGGGTCCTACAGGTAGGGAGACAGAAGGAAATGGAGTTTTTCCCCTTTCAGTAGATAAACAGTGTGGGATTCGATAACTTTGATCTTTCCTCCTCGTGTTGATTCACATCCTGTTTCTGCAAAGGTCCATCATCCCCAGCAACTCCAGAAATAAGCAGCTTTGGAAACCAGTAATAAAACCATGAAATGCTGTTTCTGATTGCTTTGATCTGATCTTTAGGGGTAAAAGTAGGTTTTAAAAATCACACATTTGCTTATTGGCTGACCTGGACAACTAAAGACAGATGCAGCTGCTGAAGAGAGCTGGCAAATGAGAATTTAGGATACCATTTGCCCCAAGAGGCAGATGGTCTCTATAGAAGCCTGATTTCATTTACTGTCCCTTCTGAAGCTGAATGAAGGTGGTTGAATTTGAAGAAAAAGTTGAACTGACATCGTGGAAATACTTGGATACATAAAGGCCTTTAATCCTTTCTAATGTGGCATTTGATTTGCCTTTTCAAAAAGTATATTCAGACATTAACAGAATTTCTACCAAAATCTGTCTTGAATGAATTTTCCAGGGGAAAAAAAAAGGACTGTCTCATTTGATGGTGTAATGATTAATCCTACTACCTGGGTAAGCCAAGTGAGCTTCCCGCAGGAGATTGCTTCTGCGGCTTTGAATTATGTATGACTATTGCAGACTGTTGAGATATAAACTTACCAAGGGATTCATTTGTATTACAGACCTATCTGTAACAATGTTACCATTTCCTTTGAATACCTTAAGTTCATCCTCCATGTTCAGAAATTGAGATGTGTCTTTGTGGAGATGGTGACGTGATTTTTTTTGTGTCAGGTCAGACATTACCAAATCTCAATTAAAAACTGGTCATTAACGAAACGTTGGTCAAAGAGTTTGAGGTAAAAAGAAATGTGTGCTATCTCCCATTCTGAAAGTAGAACAAATGCTGAGGGTCAGGAAAAGAGAGACAAAGTCAGGGTTTGACCCAGCCTGATGATCAAGGACCTAGATGTCAATGCCGTAGTTACTACAGATATCCTACATTGCATTACAGAGCTAGGGATTGTTTCAACATGAATTTTAACACCAGGAATAGAAAAGCCATAACTTCCTCTCTGTGGGCCATTTATCAGTTAACAGTTCTGTTTTATAATAATGAATATCAACTTGTACTTATCCTGAAAAAAATCATTACCTTCATCATTATTTGCTACTTCAAGACATGTGCTAAGATATATTGTATTAGAAATCCTAGTAGATTTCTTGTAATTTCATTTTAAAGAATTTTTTTTTTGGCCATCTATCTCATGGCGAAATGGGGGAACTTTTCATTTTCTCCATTATCTCCCTCCTGATGTTGTCATCTAGTTTGTACAGAAGATCAAAGTAATAGGGAAACGGAATCTGGGTTCTCTGATTCCTGTTTTGGTGTTTTCTCCATTACATCAAACATTTCCCAATGAAAGGTCAGTGGTGAACCACTTTGTTAGGAGATAAAGCCTGTATTTGGAAAGTGTCATATTACTATTTGGGAGGGTTTTCTGATTTTATATCTAAATATGAAACATTAAAAAAGTCAATGGTCAAAAATTATATTCCCTTATAAAATTAATATGCCTAAGATAAATTAATTATAGGATTTTACTTCCTTTTTTCTTCCTGGACAATTTGTTTATACGTAGTGACTGAATCACCTTCTCTGATGCTGTTCTTGATTCTTTTTCATTTTTTGGTCACAGCATGTTACCACATCTAAGCTTGAGCTCTCAAAACCTCTTCCTTTCCCCTTTCCTCTCTCTTTTACCATTTTAATCATACAAAGAGCTTTTCTTCCCTCAAGCATGGACATGACATATCATTGATGCATTTTTTTAAATTCTTCCTTTTAGACACTGCTGTCACTGTAAATGCAGGTTAAACATCTTAGTATCCATTTGCAAATCCATGTGATTTAACTTTCATCAACTCTTTTGCATAGTTCTCCATAGATGACAATTGTTTTAACTGGTGATTTAATATACCAGTGCACTTATTTAAAATGTGCTTGTGAAAACTGACCTTTGTAGAGAATATAGGTTGTGCTGCCCTGGTCCTCAAAGAGTTAATAAAACTAGCATTCACTTTGCTTAGTTTCCCAAAAGTAATTTGGCTCATTTCCCAGACCAAACCCCTCAGGTAAAGGTCAAGGTGCAGTGGGTTATATTAAGGTGAAGAATTCGAGCCTCTTATATCTTGCCCAACTTGTAGTCCTCCAGAACTCAGTGGGAGCTATGGTTCATCAGAGCTTCAGAACATGATTAACAGACTGAAGAAGGCCCTGTAGAATTTCCTTTAATGGGGAATTGTATGAGTGAGTACAGTGGGTGAGTCTTTAATATTTCTTGCTTTTTAGCATCCATATTTTGTTTTGAGAACCCCTTAAGAGCACAGAGCTATGTTTCATGTATGTGGGAACAGGCCCAGGGAATTCCTCACTGGTTAATAGCAGCAACTCTTTCTTGTAGCTTTTACAATAGGCTTAATATAAATAGCCCATTCCCTGGGAGGAAAACAGACAAGCAAGGGTGGAGTCATGGTTTCTGAACCCGCCTTCACCAATCATTTTTGACAAATGGAAAAGAGAGCTTCCTTTTAGTAATAACAATGAGATTGAGGGAAGTAAGAGAAAAGGCAAGAGCAAGGCTGCAGAGATTAGGAGGCTAAAAACACCTTTTTAGAAACCTCTCAAGTTGACTCGAGAATAAGAAGAGAGTGTCTGGAGGTTTAATGTTTTTCCTGTCAAAGGGGGATGATGTTTTTTAATCACTATATTTATTGCTTTGAAATTTAAAATGGCTTAAATTAACTTTTGCCCAGCAAAGATCGTTTTCCCTCTCCTGAAGCATGTTGATAACTTCTCAGTGACACTAAGCAGCGTCTAAGAGGGTCTCAGAAGTGTCACTTTGCTTTTCTTCGCTAACGCGTGGAAGTAGAGCCCCTTGTTACCTTGAATTTATGATGTTCCATATTATGAGAAACTAGCTTTGTTTTGGGTTGATAACCTAAGGCAGCCCATTAAGAAGAGTCAGCATGCTTTACCATGTGAGGCCTCCTTTACATAAACCACCCTGCTGACTGCTAGTGAACTGATCCCTTCCCACCTCACCCTATCCCCAAGAGCCAGATTCCATAATGGTACCTCCCACTCATTGCTTACTCTCAGTATAGAGAGACCTCTGGCTCTGCCAGCTTTGAAAGAATATTTTTGAAGTTGTATATCCAGCAGACTTCAAGGCTTATTTTTCTGTTCTGGCACATGCATAATTTCCATAATGAAAAATTGATAAGAAAGTACTCCTTCAGATCTACTCCCTCAAATCCACAGGTGATATATGTTCTGATGACACATGATCAAACAAAGTACCTCTTTTAAAGAAACTTGTAAATGTCACCATGACACACTGCCATTTGAAAATCCAGAAATAACATGTCACAGTATATAAGATGTTTCCTTTCATTCTTTCTCTTTGCCCATTAAAACAAAACAAAACAAAACAAAAACAGGAAGAAGAGCTAGCTGGTGAGTGTGTGACAGTCTAGGGATACTTTTAGTAGACCCAGAAACCATTAAAGGTGCCTGATTTTGAATTTGTTTCGTTGAACCAGCCCAATGAGATTTTCTAACTAGGCTGGTTTTCTCCACCAACATTTAATAATCATTCCACCCCCTTGTACACTACAGCAACAGAATTGGAAGTTCAGGCAGAGTGGGATGTGGGGAAGACTGGAAGAGATAGCTATAAGCAAATGAGCAGGCAGCAGTGAAACAAGATCGGGAAACACAAAGCACTATGGATGACCATCCTCTGGTATGTGGCCAATGGGATGCTTCAGATTCATTTTAATAGATGAGATTAACTAGAGGTCAGAACTTTCTTTTCCATTTGCCTTGCCTGCTGCATGCATACAGACAAAGGCTGATGCTTCACTGTGCTCCTAGCAACAAGGCTTCCAGGCCTCAGTTTACCTAAAATAATTGCTTTACTTCCTTTTTTAAATCTCAGCTTTACTCCTGATCCTTTACTAAATAGTTTCGTAAATACTTTTGTGTGTACTAAATATTATATACTAAATAAAGTAAATACTGTAGATTATTTCATATTTATTATAGTATTATAGCACAGTTCACCCTTTTTATTTGCGAGTTCCACATCTGCAGATTCAACCAACCATGGATTAAAAATATTAGGGGAAAAGAAATTCCAGAAAGTTCCAAAAAGCAAAAATTGAATTCGCAGTGCACCGGCAACTGCTTACATAGCATTTACATTGTATTGGGTACTATAAGTAATCTAGAGATGATTTAAAGTATATGGGAGGATGTGTGTAGGTTATATGCAAATGCCACTTTATATAAGGGACTTGAGCATCTGTGGATTTTGGTATCCTGTGGGTGGTCCTAGAACCGGCCCCCTTCAGATACCAAGGGATGACTATAATATAGTATGGTAAATATAGTAAATATGCTAAATACTTTCTTAAATACTTTAGTGTATCACCCTTTAACAAGTTAAGCATTCAGTTCCCTCTACCCCTACTACCTAAAAAAAAAGTTCCACTCCTTACCTGTTATTCTCAAACTTCCCTCTGAGCCTACTATAGCTCCTCTACCAAACTGAATTCTCAATATGTATGAATCAAGTATGTATCAAGTATCCCAATATATATATGATAGAAGTATCTGCCTGCATGAAAGACTGCCTTATATTCAGACAAGTATGTTGGGGTTTATGACCCATTGCTGTGACTATAGGGCCAGTTATTTACATTTATGGCAATATGTGCCTTCCATAAATCTAAATTTTAGCAAAAACCTTTGAATGCCAGTGTGATGGTGGTCTGATTTGTTTCAGTCACGTGACCCATGAAGTGACAGAGGATTTTTCTCCTCGGAATCCAAGCACTGTTGTGAAGCAAGATGATGGGGGCTGTACTTCCGTCACATCGGCATTGCCGCTGCCTGAACTGGAAAGGGAAGAGGAAAAGGGAGACATTTCAGGTCCTATGGACCCGAATCCCTGTAGTGCAACATACAGCAACTTAGGTAAGTGCAAATGTCACGTAAAGAGTATTTAAAGTTTGTCTTTTTATGTACCAGCCTAATGCTTATTTCCCTGGAAAGATGGTTTTTATTGTTCCATGGGGCAAAAGTTGGAAATTGGAGTTATAAATTTTAACTCACATCAGAAGAAGTTCTGTATTTAATTTGTACTAGGCATATATTAAACACCTGTTACCATGAGTCCTGTGCCATGTGCTAGGATTCTGACATAGTCCCTGCCTTGAGAGACTCACCGGGAGGGAA